AGTTAGATGTATGTCTTTGCGTTACGGGTCATTAATAAAAATAATGTGCTTGCTTTGAACTCTAGTTTACATTAAATATATGGCATTTATTCTACGAGTATCTAGTAGATCATTATCTGTGTACTAAGTTCGATTATCTTGGTGCGTTTCCTGCTTTTGGCCTTGTAGCGTATTAAGCTTAGCGTAAAAAATATCAGTGGCCTGTCGCCATGTGTTATGTCGTTACAAATTTCCCAGCGGCGTATGTAGTTAGCGTATGAGCCCGTGTAAAAGGCAAGCTCTGAAATGGTTATTTTTCTTAACACATGAAAGATTTTTAATTTTTTTCTCCTAGTATTTTCCTATTTGTCTTTGTGCTGTAGAAAGACAAACTTATTTGTTTTCAAGAATTATGTTGTACTGTGCAACTCTCACGAAAACTTGAGAATGTCGTTTTTTTCGGGTGTGCAAGATAACAAGTGCGTATCTGTCTTCGCGTGATTGAAATAAAGAAAGAAATGTATAGAAAGAAAGAAAAAGGAAAGAAATGAAGAACGAATAGTAAAGAAAGAAAATAAGGGAAGAAAGCGGAAAGAGAGAAAGAAAGAAAGAAAGAAAGAAAGAAAGGAAGAAAAAGAAATATAACTTAAAGAAAGAAAAGAATGAAAGAAAGAAAAAGAAGTAAAATGTAATGAAATAAAAGAATGAAAGAAAGAAAGGAAAGAAAGATAGAAAAAAGGAAAAAGAAATAAAGAAAGAAAAGAAAAAATAAACAAAAAAAGCGAAAAGAAAAGAAAGAAAGAATAATTAAAGAAAGAAAGAAACTTTACAGATATTTGTTGGGCACAGAATAATGTTTTATAATTGTCTCTTTTAACCTCTCGATATCAAAATCAGCCGACCAACCACGTGGCATATTTAAATGGCTGTCGGTGCTGGAAAAAAATTTCTATCCGACTGTTCTCACAACGGGTTCAGAAGAGATTTCCTTCATTTGATAAAAGAAGTAAGAAAAAAGAAAACTGATTTTAAACCATAGTGTCTTACGACATTGTCGAAAGAAACTACCAAGAAAAAACATTATTAAATACACTGCAAAATATATCTTAACAATAGAACTGATTCTGGTATTTTATTTTCACTGGAAGAAAATATCTTACAAATTAGATGCATTTTCAATAAGGAATAAATAATTACAAGAATACTACGAAATTTTTAACTTATAGATTGAACGACATCGGGGTTCAATCTATATCTAGCTTTTATTTTGTACTAGCAGTAGAGCCCGGCATTACCCGAGGATGTAACAGTAAGAGATAGATTAAGTATCGACCATCATAAAGACTGAAAAATAAAATTGACAAAGATTATTGTTTAAGGTTGACGGACACGCATATCTTAATTAGTTTTTTTGTTTTGTTTCTTTTTACGAATTAGTCAAACCCAAACTCAAACAAAAACATTGTTTTCAATCGTTATGAGTCTACCGATTGAATAGAATTTTATTAAAAACAATTGTCTTGTAAATAGAATTTTTAAAGCATTCTTGATGTAAAAATAAGGAAAAAAGTGTGCAAGACAATAAGAAACATGTAGGAAATCCGATCCCATATATAAACGAATACACACACACAAACAACCTGGGTTTTATAATAAGTATAACTCGATATGAGTTGTCCCCCTTTCATTCTGGCGACAGAATCGTGTTTTCAAATTGATTTCGTGCAAAAACAATTGTATTTTTTCCAATTTATGGCGCTGTCAGAACCACCGCAAGGTAATTTTACGCAGTCCTGTGAAGTTTTGTTTAAATCGGTTGAAAAATGTAGGAAATCCGATCCAATATATAAACGTACAGACAGACACACACACACACACACACACACACAATCTGCGTTTTATAATAAGTAAGATGTTGTTTACGTCTGTTTTAACTTCCTAATCTAAAAGAGAATACAAAAAGAATTTATACGAATAGTATTATTCTTTTACTCGAACATTACATGAAATCACAATGGTTGTAAACATCACTTTTCGGCTTAAAAAATTATCAAATATATTTAATTACGTTATAGAGAATAATAAGACAATAGTTGATTAACTTATTTGTGTTTCATGTTTTATATTTTAAGATTCTCATACTGTAAGAGATTTTTCATAACATTTATATATTCCGTGATTTTGCGATACACATAATTTTAAAAATTTATTCTGTATTGGAAACATATACAACTCAATATATTACACAACTAGTGGTTAACTGAATGGTGATAATAGAAAAAAATATAATTTAGTCATTCGAATGAAACTCAGACTACAAATATATATTTTTTTTTTTTATCGGAGGAATCGTATATGTTTAGGAAGAGGTAACAAAATACAGCAAACATAAATTACAATTCCACATCGCGAAAGATACAGAGACGCTTAAATGTAAATTTAAAATTTAAGCATCCCTGCATTCAAATTTTTTCGAGTGTAGAAATCGTAACCAATAGTTGATATATTTCTTGCCTTCTCCTTGCATATATATATATATATATATATATATATATATATATATATAAAAAATCGCAATTTATTGTGAAGATATTGTTTTCGAAGGACAGGAACGTGTAATTGTCTTTTTTATTTTGTCATTCAATTACCCACTTATTGCTTGATATGAAACTTGAATAGCATATACTGTAATATATATATATATATATATATATATATATATATATATATATATCACTTAAAAACTTGTATATATATAATATATATATATATATATATATATATATATATATATATATATATATATGTATGTGTGTATGTATATCACTTTAAATTTTCTTTTTTAGTGCAAACCCAGTATTTGAATAGACGCTCTGTTTATTTATTAAACGGTATATTTATTTACTTTCATCTACCACTGTGAATATTCGAGATATCTTGTGAAAGAAAAAATGCTGTCTTATTTAATAAGATCTCTTGAACATTCAGGCTGGTAGACGAAAACAAATAAATGTTTAATAAATAAACGGCACGCCTACATAAAATTTATATAAAATATACAGAAAGTTTAAACACACAACGCCCTTACATAAATTTAAGTTATCACTGAGTATTCTAAAATATAACATAATAAGCACAAATAAATTTAGCTCTCACATTTCAGACTGGCTAGTAACGTAATTACATATATTTAATATTTTTAAGACGAAATGTCACGCTTACAAGGCTTGTGATTTCCTTTATTGTATGAGGAAAAAAGTGATCCGCAAAATTTCTGTTGGTATATTCTTTTAGATTAGAAGGTTAAAACAGATGTACATCCGATAGAAAATAAGAGCTTGATACATAAATCAATTCGCGATTACAAAGTTCTCGGTAGTAACTCTTGGCTATTTTATTTGATTCATTGTTACTATTTAACACAGTTTTTTTGTTTTAAGTCGAATACACCTCGACGCTTAAAATGAATACTGTGAATTGTTCGCTTTGCAAAGTACAATTATTACTTATCCAATTATTTATTATTCTTATTCTTATACTTACGCTATAGCAATTCTTAATATTCGGACTGTGTTCGATTTAGAATTTTTTAATAAAATCACCGACAATGTCACGAGGCCAAAATTCACAGTAAATATACGTTATTCCAAATTTCATATAATGAAGAATGTATTTCTCACTTTAAATTTTATCTCAAAATTAAGACGTGTCATAAGAAAAAAAATATAAAAAGAAACATGAAATTATAGAAATGCGAATCACTATGTTTTAATTTATATTTTGTAATTTTAAAACTATAATTTCAGCATTATTTTCGTTTTGGTGCAAAACAGCTTTCATCAGAATGTGTTTCTTACTGCACATTTTTTTTGTTTTTCATGATTGTTTTCATTCTTACAGATTCACTATCTAATTACCAATCTGTTAAACACAAAAAATTATGAAGCTTAATCAGCAAAATTGTATATATTTGATTATTTGTAAAGACACTCCTTGTCTTCATAATGCAAGGGAAGTGATCGTAATTATTATAATGTTTCAAAAGGAAATCCACACGAAAGATAGACTTCATTTATATTTTTTTTCGTCCAAAATTTAAACATTATTGATTTAAAGGAGATGTGTTTACAATGATATTTCATCGATACTAAGATTGAAATTGCTGCAAGGTAATGCAATAAATTAGTGAGAGCAAAAACAAATTCTATATTTGTTTATGCATACTGACGAGTAGGTGCATGTGCAGGTCGCGTAGCGTTTATTTTGTACGGAAAGTGAAGTCCACGTGCCTAGTTCATTTTGGGAAAAGTATGGATATATTTGCTCTTCCCTATCGTTTACATAGCCGAGTAGACTGCGCTGTCTAGCACTGGTTGTTGGCCAGTCTAGGAGTAGGCCATCAATGAAATCAAAACCAGTTGAGACAGAAATCTTCACCTCATATGAAGCCTACTTACTACGGAATCCAGATTAAAAACACCTCCCACAGTTAGTTGGTTAGATAGATAGATAGATAGATGAATAGATAGATAGATAGATAGATAGATAGATAGATACTAAATCTCAGTTCTTGTGCAAAAAGAAGGAATGTCAACTGAATGATAAGCGAATCTATCTACTCTACTGATTTTAAATATATATATATATATATATATATATATATATATATATATATATATATATATATATATATATATATTATAATGGTTTCCTTCAATATTAGAATATATTCAGAAATTAATCATATAAATTTCAGTTCAAAGGATCAAATGAAAATGACTATTGGATTAATAAAATCAAATACCACATGAATATATGAGCTAAAATGATGTCCACATGAAGACAGCCAGAGAATTCTTGGCTTAAACGTCGTTTTTATAATAAAATAATACAATACATTGCAATAATTTAAATATCCAGAATAAGTTAAAATGTGCTTCTTCTCAAAAATACGTGAGGAAGATAATATAAAGACAAGGTTTAAATGTTAATAATACAACTCTTTGTGAATTGAAAAAGAAACAATCATTTCTTTACTAGGATTACCGTTTCATTATTCATAAATTTCGTCAGTGATAAGGATAGTAATCGAACTGCTGGCAATTATGATAACTCTCATGTTTTTTCATAATTCACGTGTGATGCTTTGAAGAATCTAACTTTGTGAACTTAATACGCCAAAATGTTGGCAATCACTATGAGATAAAATTGCGATCATATGGAAAAAATAAACAAAAAAGGAAAATAAATATATAATCATAAGTATTTTTTTCTAATAGGAATAGACAGGTTTGCCTATCTTCCTCGTCTTCTGAACAGGCTTATCTCTAGTTTCCTGTTTAAGATTATGCATCAGCTTCCTTCTCCTGAAGTTTTTACATTCTCTTTCACTTCCAGTGACTTTTTGCATCTTAGTGACATTATCGCCTTGCTTGGGGAAAAATGATTTAGAAATAGCTAATAGGGATTTGTAATTTTGGTAACATTTGTTTAGAATCTCGATTAAATCCAAAGTAATCTATTTTTTCTCTGTCAGAATTAACTTTTTCGATTCTTCGAAAGGAATTCAATAAAAATGTAACGGATTTGAAAAGGCGAATAACGATCATAGAATTATTTTTGCGGGGGAACTTGATTTTTAAGAAATAGTTTTTAAATGATAGAAAAATGATGAATTACATAAAAGCACACGTGGTCTGTATTGGTAAATATATTAAAAGTGATTTTCGACTGCCGATTGTGAAATCCAATTAAAGGCCAGGCTTTGAACTCTCTAATATTCAATGCCATTTATCGTGTCCATTAAACCTTTCAGAATCGTAAAAGCCCGATTCTAGAAAGACTGATATCGGACGGAGAAAGAGTTTAAGTAGAAGATTTGTACATTATGCCCATTGTGTGTAAAATGAATTTAGCTTAAATAGATTAGTGTTATTATTCAAAGTTGAGAGTTCTTTTTCTGCGTTGTTGCACAATTTGCTGGTTGACTAAATAACAGGAAATCGGTATTGCACCTGTGCCCTTTTGATTTGGATCTGTCGTTATAAAATACGGAGTGGTCAGTAAGTCAAGTAACAGTTTTAGCCACTAACGTGACAATGAATGACTGACAGAGTTTAGAAAGTTCGATTAAATTGAGTTCAACTTAGTCTAATGGCATTGTCCGCAATAATTGTGTTTGACATTTGCTTCTATTCTTTCCTTTTTACGACATTAGGCAAGATTGGAATGAAAATATAGATGACTGCTTCTGACATTGCAGAATTCATTTTGAACAAGTTTAACAAGATTTCTCAAAATAATGTTATTTCTATAACATAATATTACGTATGATCATTATTTATATATTATCCGACGTAACTAAATGTTCAAACCTAATTACAATTTCACTGCCCACAGTGGCGAACAGAGAAACAAGAATAGGGATGCATATGTGTAATTCTTTATTATCATTTGAAAGCTAAGAATAGATATATTGATGACGGTACATCAAAAAAAGTAGGTCGCCATTACATGAACATATACCGTTCTATTTTATGGAGAACCATGCTCAATATATGGATAGAGAATTTGAATATATAAACTGTGCGGACATAGAGATCAGACATGCTTACTATGGTCATATGATACCTTCCGATGATGTTATATATATATATATATATATGCATATGTATGTATGTATGTATGTATGTATGTATGTATGTATGTATAATCCGGCATTTTTATGAATTTAAGCGTTATCATAGTAGTATTTGAATGTATTATTTATTAAACACAGTCTATTAGAGTGATGCTTATGTTGATAAATGGACGACATTAAAAGCAACACTGTATCAATATCCGTATCCTGAAACCATAGCAATTAACAAGCATGTTTGTTGTTCAAACAGTTTTAATACTCTCAAATTCACGGATCAGTTTCTTAGTGCTATTAAAAATCTGAATGTGGAAGACGCCGTAGCTTTAGTTATTTCTTTTATTCCCCAAGTAATCTCCTCCAAGATGAATATTCGGGATGAAATGCTAAGAGAAAATTAAAATAATTGATATTCGTGAATTGTTTTGCAAGTACGCAAGAAACCCGCTAGTCAATTTAAAATCTAACATTAAAAATATGTAAGGGAGTTAAGTTATTTTATAATTTGTAACGTTGATATTTTAAAATAGTCAACATGCATTTAAAAAAATCCAATTTAATCATTCCAAAACATTGCTTTATAGGCACTTTAAAATATTGTTGATATACACATAATTCTTTTTATTTCGTGTTGCTTGCAATGTTTTATATAAAGCGCTTCAATAATTAATTATATTTCTATTGTCAATTGATATTACTCTAAAACGTGAATGTGGACAGGAATGTTCATTTAAATATTGTGCATTTGAGAGGATTAAAATAAAAATAGACGTGTCTATATTATTTAACCAAACATGCTTGAATATATATATATATATATATATTATTTGATATTCTCTTGTAATTTAGGGAGAACAGTGCTCAATATCTGGATAGAACATATGTAGAAATATGCCGTATGGATATAGAAATCATTTTTAACTGTCATAGTCTGATGATACCTTCCAACTTGAGAAACACACACACACACACACATATATATATATATATATATATAACCAAACATGCTTGAATATATATATATATATATATATATATATATATATATATATATATATATATATATATATGTGTGTGTGTGTGTGTATGTATGTATTATTTGATATTCTCTTGTAATTTAGGGAGAACAGTGCTATCTGGATAGATCATTTGTTGAGATATGCCGTATGGATAAAAAAATCAATCATTTTTAACTGTCATAGTCTGATGATATCTTCCATATATATAAATATATTTATATATATATATATATATATATATATATATATATATATATATATATATATATATATATATATATATATATATATATATATATATATATATACATCTATATATACATATATATATATATATATATATATATATATATATATATATATATATATAGGTACACATCGTACACACATGTGTCACGAAACAGATATATATGTATTGGTGTATATATATTAATGAATAAAATCAATTATACAGTATAAAATTTCTGTACTTGACAATAAAGGAACAATTCTAGAACATTTAAGAGACCTTTCCATATATTTAACAGTCATCTATATATATATATAAAACAGACGCTCTATGTCTGCCTGTCTGTTTGTGCGATATCTTTTCAATCGAGATCCATCCAACTGATTTTGAGCAAAATTGGCAAATACATTGTACAATGTAAGAGATAGTTTCTTAGAATAAAAAACGATTAAAAAAAAATCAATTGTGGCCAACAATAAGTCGATTGCTTAACACTCATTTTACTTGATAATTGACTCAACCCTTATAGTGAAAACCGCATAAATAACGAAAAATGGGGATTTTTACTGTTTTCTTACTTATTTTTCGTTGATCTTTCAACTAACCTTCATAAAAATTATTAATTACTTTATAGATGTATCCTCTTTTACATCCCTGCAGCGCGCTGACAAATTGAATTTCAAAAACTCCAAAATATTTGTGGTCTGAAGTGGGTCTTCATGTTGCCTGATTTATCCCTTCATATCCTCGGCTAACTTCGATTGAATGAATATAGACTACTTCTCTTATGATCAGTAACTGCTTTAATTCAAAATGTTTTTTTTTTAATGAAAGTACTTTAAAGTAATTGAAGAAGATAGACTCCGTTATATCTTAATATTATGCTATTTTTTTCCATTCTAATTGAACGCATTTTTTTTTCTTATCGACTAGCTGGGTGTGGTTGCTAGTTTAAAAATAAACGTGACTAGCCACATTATAATATAATTAATGTCTTGTATATTTAATCTAACATTATGGCAGATAGTTTCTTTAGAGTCCCTGTTAGATATCTCAGGTAATAAGTATTATTTGCTTTATATTAATAACAAAATATATTAAAATACTGACGCTAATGTTGGTCTTTCACAAGTTTTATAGCATTATGTGAACCAAATAGGAATTATGTTTGATCTTATCAGAAACACTTCTAAATATCATGATAACATGTAATATAACTACCAAGTTATTTGGAGAACTTAAAAATATCATATGCAATTAATTGGGGAAATACATCTGTGTAATCTCTAAATCATTCTCATAAAAATAGCTTTTAGTCTCCAACACATTGTTCGGATAATAGTTATCGTGGTGGCTGTAGTTCGTATCGAAGAATTTAATTTCTTCTTTGCTGATCACTTCCTTTATGATGATGGTGTTGATGACTACACTCACCGCCAACTTGTAGGTTCTAGCTTCAACAAAAGCTGTTTCCGTCATCCATTCCCTATCGCTGTTTGGCTTTGCAGGAGTTGGTTGAAGGTGAAGGAAAATCAGTGTAGAATAAATGATGGCGTGAATTTGTTTAAAGTGGACTTAAACTTGCCTGAAAGTGATTCACACACTTGATTTGATGATATTCGTCTGCGGCGCATATGGTATCAAGTTATAAAACTGGAATGAACTGTCGCTAACTTTGCTATAATTTCGAATGGCATCTATTGTAGCATTGCGCCATGTGTAGTTCTCTTCATCCACTTGTTCAATCGTTGAGATCTTTTGTAAACATCACCCGCTTGTTCCGGCGTTGGGGGTCTTTGGGGTCGGTCGTGAGTTGTATGGCACTTCCTCTTCGACCTTGTCGCCAAGGGTGGCCCTATCAGTGGTGTATCTCCCGAGGGCATCATTCTCAGAATCAATGAACCACGGAAGCCCCTACAACACGAAAAAATTGTCCATCAGAGGTATGCATCGCATAACACACACACACACACACACATATATATATATATATATATATATAGATAGATAGATAGATAGATAGATAGATAGATAGATAGATAGATAGATAGAGTCAGAGTCATAGATAGATAGGTAGATAGATAGGGAAGGATTGACTGCAAGAAAATAAACACAATCTCCACTTAGCACAGCCATGCAAAACTTAAGTCTTACGGTTTTCTGTTGCTTTTTTTTACATATAGCTTTAAATAAACCTGTGAAATGAACGAGAATTCGCATCATATGGTAATAAACTACATGTTACGAGACACGTGTGAATCGTGGCGTTTGAAAATTGTTAAAATTAAATATATTTTAAAAATTAAATGCAATGTCAATCGCTATCATTTGTCTACCTGATTACTCTTTTCTCTTCCCGTTCAATATTAACGTTTCTGTTCCTTATTCTTCCACACCTAGTAACTTCTTGTGTCTTAGTGGTTTTACTTCCTTGCATGGGGTGAAACCCATCAAAACAATAACAAGAGTTCTGAGTTTCTTGCGAAAATAAATAATTTTGCCAGATGTTTTTAGTCGCATAATAATTCCTTAACCGTCTTGAGAGGAAGACATACGCATAAACATTGGCATAACCAGCTGCATATGATACCAAGCCAGGAAATTTTTAATCGCCCAGTTATCGTCGTTATAATATATATCTTAAAGAGCCAGGTATTATTATCGTAACGTTTGGTGGTAAGAATTTTTTTTAAAAAACTGCAGTGTGATAGAAATAAATGGAAAATGAGATTGATTTTGGAGAATGAAAAACTGAATTTGATATTACCAGACAATATGATTACTTTCCCCGTTGATAAATAGACCAAAAATGAAAAGATTTATTTGTGGAGGAAGAGAAGACAAAATGAAGAGTAAGAATGCTTATCAAATCACATTAATTTACGGAGGCATCGTGAAACAAAAAATATATGTAAGGATTAAAATTATATTTTCTTTTCAAATTTATTTTGTACCTTAGAAGTGATGTTGTCACTTTGCCATTTCATTAGTTTTCCTTGTATCGATTTACAGCTCCTGTCACTTGGAATTATTGATTAACATAACAAATTGCCAAAACACTGCTGAGCTGGCAAAAAATATAGAACGATGGACAGGAATTACACAGAGTATATTGTGTAAGTTTCCATCGTAAAATACTTTCAACATAATAATGTATACATTTGGTTCTGCTGTCTGATTAATGACACTCACGTAACCTTAATTATCAACCATCAATGAATGCTCTATTCAGATAATTTTTCTAGGGACTTTTAATATTACGTACATATATAAGTAAATATCAATCTTCAGGAAGATTATAATTATTCTCTTTTTAATTGTAGAATCCAGATTCGGACATTCTCGTAGCCTGACAGCAATGTAAAAATTAGTATATATGATAATCAAAAAGAATAATTTTAATGAATGTTATTTATTATTCCGTTTGACGACACTGATTAAAAGAATATCAACAATTTTTATTAATCTATTATGAAATAGCTAGTCTTTTAATTTTCTGACTACTTTGCAAATTGTAGCTGTCACCATGTTTGCATGTTGGTCTTGTCGGCACTCCTGTGGAATAGATGACCACGGGTTCACTTCATGAGATTTTGGTGCTGTAGTTACCATAGTAAGTAGGTTTTACGAAGTGAAGTTGCCAATCCTTACGACAACCGATTTTGAATTCAGAGTTGCCAACTATGGTTTGAGAACGTTTTTTATTTCTCTATTATACCCATAGCTGTCAGAAGAGATAAATTCATACCTTTTTCAAAGGTATTAATGCATTGCGGACTCAACATTGCACTTGCCACGCTGATATGGAATTTTTTAAATAAATCTATAATCATATACTTCCGCGCCGAAATCCACTATACAACGAGCGCATATGTTGCATTATTTAGTTTCCAATAAACCATAAGTTTTAGTAAAGTTTATAAAGTACCGGCGAATAATTTTCCATCGCTGCAGCCGATTTGGTATTCGAAGCATTTCAGAATGAATCTAAAAATAATGTTATTTTAAAATATGAAATCGTAAAAAAATTATAGACGAATATATCAATTCCTTGACATTTATCTCTTAATTAAAATCGAAATAAAAGTGGGTTTAAAAATGCTAAGAATTATCACGAATTTGAATTTCGTCACTGAATTCAAACTTGCTTTCTCCTGGTATTTATATTTCCACCTTATAATCTTTTATAAATATTAGAACGTCGAACAAACCCAAAGAAATTTAAATTCTATAAATATATATATAAAAAAAAATAATATCCTTGAGAAATTTTATAATTATTCCGTGCTTTTTTTTTTCTTTGCTGTTGTCGCTTATTTTTGCATCAATGTCAATCAACAAAAATATATCTGAATTTTTCTCCCGCTTAAATACGGTCGCTTTTGTAATGCATTTTAATTACTTCATATTTGATGAATCATTATGAACGTTTACTCTGCTTTAGGTACATTTTTGCACCAAATACGAGTGAAGTCTGTAATAGTAATGCCGATAGATAAGTGGATCATTTTGTTTATTCCTGGAACAAAATAATCTTGCTGGGAGAAAATTATTTGAAAAATTATAAGCGTTTCGTACCAAATAAGAAGTGTGCCAGATGGAAAACAGAAATAATTTAATCATGGCGACATTGGATTAGATGCTCATGTTTTTCTTCTTCTATGTGGTATGCTCATCATGACTCTCCATAATTTCATGTTCTTAGTTTTTAGTAAATTTGGTCTTTTTGGTATATCTCTTAAACCCTATTCTAACAACCATTTAAACACAATGGTTAGAGAGGTTATACGCTGTTTTCGTCTGTCAATCATGCCTTTAATATATCCTGTGAGTGTCACATATTTCAAGTACGCCGTTGAAATATAAATTATAGTGAACTTAAAATTTTAAATATAATTTTTGAAAATTCTGACTTTAAAATATAATAAAATTCTTTCTCCCTCTTAACATATATCTACTATTTCCTTTTAGATAAATAATTGTAGTGGTGAATGTATGTTCGTTTATAATGGTAATTAATTTGGAGCTATATGAAAAGATATTACAAATTTATATTGCTTTAATTTTGCATAATAACTTTTTTTTTATTCTGTAAATGTAATTGTTTTACCAAAAGAAATAGGCGTGTTTGTTTACTGTAATCATAATAAGAAAATCGTCTTGATATAAAATAGTATTATACAAAAGTTTACATTATTAAAGTTTTAATGTATAATGATTGTCAAAGTAAAACACAAACAGATGCGCGAACTGGCCACCATGTCAGTTTGACCGATGACAAATGCGTCCTCATAGAGTGGGCTTGTTGTGATCAATTTGTCTAGGATTTTCTTGCAATCCGAGAGTTGGATTCCAAACATTTAACAACAACAAACACATCTTTAAATAAAACATATAATATGTTATTTTACGGAGGAAAAGTAGCAGAAAGTTTGTTGAAATGACATTTATATATTCTTTTCAGAAATATACAATAGTAATAAAATGTTCAAATTTCCTTGTAGTGAACTTTGTTTCATAAAATAATAAAGTGTTCTTAGGGCGTTTTGAAATATGAGGAAAGACCTACGGTATGACGTTCAACCTATTTGTATTTGTGAGTTCATAGACAATGGCTTAGTTGGTAGATCTTGGTTATTCTCTTCTATTGTGTGTGTTGACAAGGCCTTAGTCGGCGGCTGTCTTTTCCACTGTGTGAGTGTAGATGGGTGCGTCAGTGCGTGTACTCACGTGTAGTACAAACTGGTCTCCAAAATTGTTTTGGACCCTAAGAAATATTCAAAATTTAATTTCACATAGCTGTGTGAACTTTTTGAATATAAGTTTTTCATTGGGTAGAAAATCCTTTCACAATGGCACGTGAAAATCTTTTTCTTGAATTCGCGGGAGAGCCGAATGATTTATTATTATTATTTTCTAATTGGTCCAAAAATAACTCATAGTACGTCTACAACTACGTCTTCAAGAATTTTGGCGGTATTTTCCCTTGTAATGATTGTTTATCAAACAAACCTTTTGATGAAATTTTATTTGTTGAAATATATATATATATATATATATATATATGATTTAATTCCTATAGACTCCCTATATCAAATATAAATACAATAAAGTAAAAAATATAGTCAACTGTTTTAATAATAAAAAGGAAAAATAACATTATACCATCTTACATGTTTCAATGTGAGTGGGCATTTTAAAGCTTAAATTCATAATAACAATGTTAAGAAATTTGGAATCATACATGTTGCGATCTAGTGGGAAGGAATTTTTAGATGAATTGGATGTAGAAGCAATTATTGGCAAATTCAAACAATTATCTAGTGAACTGCATGCAACGCTATGTTGTGCTTTTGCAGCAACTCTTAATGTGTAAAGTGTGCAGTAAACTATAGAAACTTATCAAATAATATCTTAAAATTAAAAAATAAATAAACTCACAGCTTTCTGAATTTACATTTGACATCTGCTGCAAATACAATACCTGTACGTTGTTGTTACTAAGATATACACATTTTTTTCCACAAACACTTAAATTGTACTTTTTTTCTACATGTACATTTTTTAGAAAAAACTCCTGTTTTTCGCCATGAAAGATAGCAATGTAGTTGTGAATGGGTCTCTTTGTTTCCTGGCAACGATTATGTTTTAAACCCATTCACCCACTGATCACAAATACATAAACACAGACATGAAAGATACGTTTGGTTTTAGAAAAGAGCCAATGGTATAAAGTTCATGTATATATTTATAATGGATAAAAGACTATGTTCTAGGTGTAATCTCTGAAAAGATTCAGGAGAAAATAAATATTCCTGTCTGTGGGTTTCTCTTCTAGTCTGTTCAGAATCGTATGAAAGCATAATTGAACTTTTTTTAGGGGATGATAGAACAAAGTACCTACGACAATTTATCGAGTTAAGATAAATTTTAGAAGCTTGAGAGCTCGTATAATTTCTCTTTTCATCTCATCAACCTGCATGTGTAATTTACGCTCTTTTGTACATATTTTACATAACGTGTACATATTTTCATTTTTCAACTGTTGGTATGTGAACAAAGTATATTATATTATTAGGAAAATTAAGGAACTATTTTAATTAAGTAATTAATTAAATATAATCAATAGTAAATAT